TTTTACGATTTATTAAATTATTAGAAAAAGAAGACGATTCGTTGTAGAGTTCTCGACTCTTAATCCTTGTCTAAATTCAGCCCCCCTCCTGCGCAAAGCGCGGAAGCTTTGACGTTTCATTAATCTATTAAAGAAAGAAGACGATTCGTTGTACCGTTCTCGACTCTTAATCCTCGTCTGAATTCAGGTTCCCCCCTCCCGAGCGAAGCGTGGAAGCTTTTACGTTTCATTAAATCATTAGTGAAAGAAGACGACTCGTTGTAGAGTTCTCGACTCTTAATCCTTGTCTAAATTCAGACCCCTCCCCCTCCTGCGCGAAGCGCGGAAGCTTTGACGTTTCATTAAACTATTAAAGAAAGAAGACGATTCGTTGTACCGTTCTCGACTCTTAATCCTCGTCTGAATTCAGGTTCCCCCCTCCCGAGCGAAGCGTGGAAGCTTTTACGTTTCATTAAATCATTAGTGAAAGAAGACGACTCGTTGTAGAGTTCTCGACTCTTAATCCTCGTCTGAATTCAGTTCCCCCTCCCCCTCCTGCGCGATGCGCGGAAGCTTTGACGTTTGATTAAACTATTAGAGAAAGAAGACGATTCGTGGTATCGTTATCGACTCTTAATCCTCGTCTAAATTCAGTCCCCTCCCCCCTCCCTCTCCTGCGCGAAGCGCGGAAGCTTTGACGTTTCATTAAACTATTGAAGAAAAAGAATACGATTCGTTGTAGAGTTCTCGACTCTTAATCCTCGTCTGAATTCAGGTTCCCCCCTCCCGGGCGAAGCGCGGAAGCTTTTCATTAAATCATTAGAGAAAGAAGACGATTCGTTGTACCGTTCTCGACTCTTAATCCTCGTCTGAATTCAGGTCCCCCCCCCCCTCCCGCGCGAAGCGCGGAAGCTTTTAAGTTTCATAAGATTGTGAGAGAAAGAAGACGATTGCCTGTACAGTTCTCGACTCTTAATCCTCGTCTGAATTCAGGTTCCCCCCCCCCCCCCCCCGCGCGGAAGCTTTTAATTTTCATTAAATCAATAGAGAAAAAAGACGATTCGTTGTACCGTTCTCGAATATAATTCTCGTCGGAATTCAGGTTCCCCCCTCCCGCGCAAAAGCTTTGACGTTTCATAAGATTATGAGAGAAAGAAGACGATTCACTGTACCGTTCTCGATTCTTAATCCTTGTCTGAATTCAGTCCCCCCCCCCCTCCCCTCCTGCGCGAAGCTTTGACGTTTCATTAAATTATTAGAGAAAGAAGACGATGCGTTGTACCGTTCACTATACTCTTAATCCTTGTCTGAATTTCAAAGATGTTATTTGTCTGCTCCTTTTACTTCCTACGTCCTCTTCCGATTTGGGGGGACCGCCCCCCCCCCCGTGGCTACGCGCCTGCGGTCAGATAAACACATTTTGATAACTTGTCCGGCCCCGGAAGCTCAGGGGTTTTAGGCGTTTAATTAAGGTCAGATGATCTTTTTTTTTTAATACCTATTATTTTGTGACACTGGCAGGTCACTATTTGGCGTGGGGTCCAGGGGGTGGATCCCCCCAAAAGAGGGGTTTTAGGCATTAAATTACCGTCAGATGAGCATCTAAGGGCCCGTCGTAGCGCCCTCAGTGGAATCCAGGGGGCAGAGCCACCGGAAGCTTAGGGTTTTAGGCATTTAATCACGGTCAGATGAGCATATTTTGATGCCTCATTTGTTAACACTGGCAGTTAACTATTCTTTCTTTCTTGCTCTCATTCTATTTTTTTCTCTTTAATATATTTTTTCAAATAAAGTGGGGGGGGGGGGGAGGGAGCTCGAGGCTCCCGATCCCTGCTGTACCTCGGGCCCTGACATGTAGGAATCTCAATAATCATATTTCGTGCCTGGCTGTAAATTTAGGAATTTGTCATTTTCCAACAAACACATATACAAACGTATAATTTACTAAAAAATGAGGACAAATCTCGGAAATTATGTCATTTCAGCATTATTTGTAATCCACCGTTGTGGAATTAGAAATAAACCGCGTTTGAATTTGATTTATAATAATAATAATAATATTGGCATTTATATAGCGCTCTTACAGACATACATGTGTATCACAGCGCTTTTACAACATTACATTACTTAATTGACATTGATAGCAAACAATAAAATTACGTACACAAAAATATATAAATTCAACTATTAAAGAGAAAGGTTTTCAAGGAACGTTGAAAGATAGCGAGAGAAGGAGAAGATCGTACAGCCTGAGGGAGATTGTTCCAGAGACGTGGTGCGGAAAGAGAAAAAGATCGATCCCCAAAGCGTGTACGACTCCTGGGAACCGAGAGCAATGTTGGGTCGTTGCCAGATCTCAGACCATGCCTTCCTGGTTGATGTAATGAGAGAAGGTTTTGGAGATACGAGGGAGCCATTTTATGGATGCACTTGTAGGTCATTGTGAGAATTTTGTATGTGATTCGCTTTTCTATTGGAAGCCAATGGAGCTGACGAAGGAAGGGAGAGGCATGGTCATGCTTCTTAGCGCGGAACACCAACTTTGATGCTCGGTTCTGAGCTCGTTGCAGGCGATTGATATTTGACATAGAAATATTACATAGAAGAGAATTGGAATAATCAGTCCTAGATGTGACGAGAGCACGTACAGCATGCTCACACGCGGACTTGTCTAGGTAGGGTCTGATCCGAGCTATATTAGATAGATGGAAGTGGAGCGTACTAGAAAGTGATGACACATGGTGATTCATTCTCAGTGAAGAATCACCCAAAGCCCCCCCCCCTATTAGTACGCCAGTATCTCCTCTTTTCCTTTTTTTTCTTTCCCTTCCTTCCTTCTCTCTTATTGTTTTGATTGGGGGGGGGGGGGGGGTCAACAGCCTGGGAGGCAAAGCCCTTCTGGTCCCCCCCCCCGATTTCCTTCTTCCCCCTTTTCTTTTCTTCTTCTTCTTCTTCTTTCTTTCCCTTTCTCTCCTCTTTCCCTTTCCCTTCTTTTCCTTTCTTCTCTCTCTCTTTTTTTTTTTTTTTTTTTTTTGCGGGGGGGGGGGGGGGGCAAGGCCCGCTCGGCCCCCCCCCCCCCTGGATCCGCGCCTGGTATTACTAGTTCAAATATACGGGGTAAACTTTTGCATCATCTTTCTTTCAATAAAAGTGATGAAACCTTGAAAGGTGATCTTAATATTGGAATTTCCACCTCTGGGCTAATATTCAAATACTCAACTCAAAATGGATAATTATTTAGACGAAGATTTCTTCAGCATTGATGTTGTCTTTTTCTTTAATGTCAATGTGTCAATACTTTTTTCTTAAATTCATGACATTTTGTGCAATATAGAGAAAACTAAAAGAAACCGAACTTGATTACTATTCCCGCTCTGTCTATGTCATTGAAGGGCGGGGATGTCCATTTTGTGATAAAATGCGGTCCGTAGACCTACATCCCTCGGACCATCAGTAATAGCTGAACATAAGACATTGACTGCTCAATATAATATATCTCAATAAATATTAGGATCTTAATTTATACATTTAAAAAAGTTGTTTATATATGTCATAATAATGGTATTCAATCCGCATAGCGAACTGCAGACCTCATGACCTGTCAGCCGTTACCTTTTCCATTCATGACCAATCATCCGCGTCCACTACGCTGCTGTAATATAATCATGATAAATGTGTAACTAGAGACGTGTGTGTGTGTGTGTGTGTAATTGGGTTTTTACAGACGTGTATCAATCAGATATGATTATTTACGTCTGGGGACCGACTTTTAACGTCACCATCCGAAAGACGTGACTCAGTTTCGAACCTGCGTCCTCGGCTGAATCAGTTTGTAACTTCCACTGTTAGCTGTATTACAGGCGCACGCCACAACGCCTAGTTGTAGAGACATAGATGGACGAAAGTCAGTTGAGAGAGGGCAGTAGCTACTCATGAACATAGCGCTTTGAGAAAGATAGTTGTGACACCTGTGCACAAATGCATACGCGAGCCCGGTGATAGACTAAATCAATGAGCCAAGACGTCTCTTTCCAAATGTATTAATTTATTGAATTTTCTCTAAAAAAAGAAGAAAAAAACAATATAGGGTCTAAAGAGAAAATAAGCAGAAGGAAAAGGGATGGAAAGAGAAAGAATCCTAAAAATAGTCATTTATGACATGAAATTGTATGTATATATAAATAATTCATAAAATAGTGTGTGGCAAAAAAAAATCAACTGTAACTGATTGTCAAACAAAATCAAATCAAGAAGAAGAAGAAGAATACTTGTACACTCTTTATGGGGGAGAACTATTTGGAGCTCTTTGAAATACATGTAATTGACCAATCAGATGTGTCTTCCGCTGTCGCGACTTTATCTGAATCAACTGGCTGTTAGTGTCAAAGCACATTAGGGACTTTTAGATTTGCACGCCGACATAGTGGACTGCTACGTGTGACATCCTTTTAAGGCACTGCCAGTGCCTTAAAAGGATGTCACACATAGCAGTCCACGTTCTCGTCGTGCAAATCTAAAAGTCCCTATTTGCTGCGGCGTAGGACAGCGTCGGTACAGGTGTTTATGATGCACCATGTATGAGTAAATAGTGAGTTCACATATAGGGAACATTGCAAATAGTGCAAACACTTACTAACTGATGTATCAATTTCCTTCTCCGGCTTTATTAGCTTAGTAATATCAAACGCAATTCGAAATCAACGTCTCGTGTGAAACGGATGTAACTTCTTAAAAATGAAGCACCGTTTAAGTTGGAGGGGTCAATACGTTTGCCCCCCCCCCCTTATTTTTACACAAGAATTTCACTGACAGGCATTGTGTTAAACATCTGAGGGAATAATAGCTATTTAGGTCCATGCAGTTTGTTGTTGTGTTGTTTTCTGTGTGCTTGGTTGTTTTTTGCAATATACGTTCACATGATGCAAACGTTGTATATCGATGTATTGTAAGCCTGTAAACAAACATTAGTTATTATCATCTTCTTCTTCTTCCTGCTTTATTTCCCTCTTTCTTCCGGCCTCTTAGTCTAGATCTGTTTTCACAATGGAGACACCACGTAGTGTATGCGGTTATATGTTCGCCCTCCTCTTCCTAATGCCTGCGCTATCACTAGGCGCTTCTACCAAGCCCGTTCCAGAGCAGGTGAAATACGTCGGCATCTCCTACGATATCATCAAGGGAAACCCCGAGGGTAACCAAAAGACTGGAGGGGTCGACCCCGGGCTCTTGACGACTCGGCGTGTCTTGAAACTCACCTACGACAACGGGAAAGTGACGGCCGACAACGAGTACCGAGTGCCCGACGAAGTGGATTTCGTGCGACGTAGTAGCTCTTACACGTCGCAAGAGAAGGATACGTTTTACGGAACGAAAAGCTACGCCAAGAAGCTCTCCCATCAGGTGAATGTCGATGGTAAGCTGCTCGTTTTGTAGCCCCATGCAGGCGCGTACGCGGCGGGGGGGGGGGGGGGTTGAGGGTTGAACCCCCTCTCAATTTTGTATCTGTATGATTTTTGATGAACCCCACCCCCCTAAATATATATTTTTTAATATTAAAAAAAAAAAAAAAAAATTGTACCAAAGGGTGACCCCCAATAAGTGACCCTACCCCCCCCCCACCCCCATGAGTCGTTGCGAATTTTTTGGGACCACAACCCCCCCCCTAAATTTGTTTATCTGTATGATTTTTGATGACCCCCCCCCCCTAAATACATTTTTAATAGAAATTAAAAAAAAAAAAAAAAAGTGCTCTTACCCCCCCCCCCCCCCCCCCCCTTGAAAAAATCCTGCGTACGCCACTGGCCCCATGCTATATCGTGAAATACCCGTTTCACATGCTGCATCATTTTGATCGCGCTATTATCTGCGTTAATCAAGCTTTCAATCAAGCTGGCAAAGCTGCGTTTATAGTCGCCAACGCAGTCCTGCGTTAGGCAGATGTCATTTCGTGCTTGATTAGTGGGCATGTTACAAAGGCAATGAAATTCATCAAATCGCAAACAGAGCGTTATCTAGCGAGTTTCTACGTAAATGACGTCACTCAATGGAAGTTTAATTCATTGCGCATTGAGACAGGGGGTGACGACACATGAACGGATGTTTCGTATTTTGTTTAAATAACGGGTGCGGATGGAGGGGATTCGAATAACTTTAAATTCCTTCTTTTCCGTGCCTTGACATTAGGGACTTTTAGAATGAGTGAACGAGAACACGACGAACGCCGACTGATCATGCGTGTCAACGTACTTAACTGCCCATGTTGGCTACAATTAGAAATCTTTTAGATTGCACTCGACGATATGCATGCAGGAAGTAACACAATAAACATCACGGACAAAGAAAGAGGACATTCCTCATTCTACCCTCAACAAAAGAACATCCCTTCACTGCTAATATGTAAATATGTGTAGAACAGGTGCATGTGACACCTGTTCTACACATTTCAGCATGTAAAGGCGCTTTATAAAATAATGTCAATATGTATGTATGTATTGCATGTACTAGATTTAGGAAAATCAAGGTTGACGCATTCTCGATCGCCGACTGAGACCACGTGACGCAGGCGCAGTGCCTTAAAATGACGTCACACGTTGCAGTCAAAGCTCTTGACGTGCAATTCTAAAAGTCCCTATTTACGAGATGGGTAGTTCTATTGAAAACCCGGGCGTCAACACCGTATATGAAGAAGTTAAATTTGCTCAAGCGTGGGTATATAGAGGGCAGCACACGGACGTACGCACGGGAGCGGAATACCTGGCTCAGATCAGTGTTATGTAGCGATCGTGAAGTTGGCTACTCACGAACGACTATATACCCACGCATGAACATCTTTAAGAACGAGTTTATTGTCGATTCTGTCTGTCTGTAAAAGCTGATCATTAACTTTTATGGGGTATCCTGCTATGGTATGCATTTCTAGTCTATTTTGTTTTATATATGGCAATCTACATGACTCAACGAATAGTATAAATCAATAAGTTTTATCTTTTTGTCCCTTTCATTCTCTCTTTTCACTCTTTAGTTGACGTTTCAGCTGTCTTCGCTAGCTTCCAGTTTGCTGCCAGCCATCGTAAGAGAGCTATCCTTACATGTTAATTCTAATGGGGAAGTGGGGGGGGGCGGTCTTGCTATTTGGGGGCGGAATGTTTACAGTTGGGCCCATCGACAATCATTTTGGGATTTAAATTTCTATCCGATATTTTTACTGCGCCCTGGGACGGTTCCAGGATTTTGTAAAAATGGTGGCGCAATTCCGAAGAATTTCCGACAAGCAAAAAAAAAAGGGGGGGGGGGAGGCGACAGCTATTTCCTAAAATCCTCTTACAAGGAATGTATTATTTTGATTGAATCATGGTACGATAAACATATTACAAGGATCACATGATTGAACAAATTCAAGTATTATTCACGATAATACATGTGTTCGAACCGGTTCGTACTTAATGAACTTTAATATTTTTCAGAATTGTGTTAATCTCACAAAATTTTCCTTTGAGAGTTTCAGTTGTTTTCTTTTTTTTACGTGGTAGGCCTATTTCAAATTTATCTACAACATCTTTTTGAAATTCGCAGACCTCATGATCATAATGGAAAGCGACTTATATATGTGTATAGAGATTGTTATAAAACCTACTTCAGAAGTGCTAAAGTCGTCTTAACGTTACAATATGCAGATGATCAGTATTAGAAATATACATACTTCTTTTACATTGACACAAAAATTAATCAAACATTGCTTTGTAGATAAAATAATCATAATTTTTAAAGAAATTGAAAAGCGTATTTATTCAAAGGTGTCAAAATGTATCTTTTATTAACACTTCACATTTTCATGGTTTCAGAATACCAGTCCATCAAGAACGATGAAAATACCAAGGGTTACGTGTACTTCTCAGAGCAAACGATCCAGAACTATGGCAGTATTCGATACCTGGAGGCCCTCGCCAACACTGACGGGTTCGAGCCCAGTCGAGAGTTTCGTGTCGCCGTCTGTGGTCTGCCCACTACCTATGACAAAGCGGCCTACATGACATTCCTCTCTGACTGGGGAACGGTAAGGCTTTCCTCACCTTTAATTAGGATGATGATGATGATGATGATAATGATGATGTTGATAATGACAATGGTCACATCAACAACAACAATGATAATGATAATAATAATAATGTAATAATGATAATGTTAATAATAATAATAATAATAGTAGTAGTAATAATAATAATAATAATAATGATAATAATAATAGTAATACTATTACTACTAATAGTAATAATAGTCATAATATTATTGTTCTTCTAGAACCTAACCGCGCCTGCCTTTGGCATGTTTGGTTAAACATTACACTAGTCTCTCTCCATCCAGGTGGAGGGAATGGATAAATGGTAAATGAACGAGTCAATGATTCACAGCAATACTAATATATATTGATAATTTCGTGTAACCGTCAATAACACATGGCGGCTCAAAGGACCACTGACGCAAAATCAAATGCCAGAATGGTCGATTCCAAAGTGCGTTTTCATTTCCAAAATAAGGAAATACAGACGTAAAACGGACATTCTGAAGCATGACCTTCATAATTCCCCTTTCTTTATAAACGGTTGTTTCTTTTTCTCTTGTTTTACCAATGTAGCACGTCGTGACGGAGGCTCAATTGGGGTCTCGTTCGGGCACAACCTATCGTGAGGACACGTCATCTTTCATCAAAGATTCCACGAGAGATGTAAGTGATTACGTGAACCATAGCTCATCGAGAGAGATAGTTGTGACATGCGCATGCGCGTACGCGTTTATAATTATGTCACGTTTTGGAGTGACCAGCGGGGTGTTTCATAAAACTTGTCATCAGTGACAATTGAAAGTTTTTGTTATAAGCTAGTGAGATCCTTGCTTCTGATTGGTCATTAGTAGATTTGTCACTTATTTTTGTCATTTGTCATTGAAAAAAGAGAAATGGGTCCCTGAACAGTATTTTGCTTAAACGTCTAGAAATTAGTTTGAACCATGATTTATATTCATTGTTTCTCGCACCTTGTCTCGGTCTCTTGTTCTTCAAACAGATGTCCAACAGCGTAAGTGTTGGAGGTAGCTACAAAATCGTCTCTGCATCGTTATCAGTGGATATGGACAGGTTCACCAAGACTGCAGCATCGCAGGAAAAGTTCGGCAAAGTGTACAAAGAGTACACAGTGGGCAGCCTGGAGTATAATGGTACGTGTATTTTTGAAGATGAGGAACAAATCTTAAAGCCATACTTTACTAGAAGCACTATCGCAAAGTGCCCTCTAGGGCCATCCATGTCAACTGTAGTTCGCTGCTTCCCTATAGCTGCGCTGTTCAATGGTTCTTGCGTCTAGTCCTGTGTCTGCGAAGTGGGAACTAAGTATTGTGTTACGCACTGTTGGCCAGTTCACCATGCGATCGCTCCGTCACTCCTTTAAATGTGAAAATAGGGACTTTTAGATTTGTGTGGACTGATACGTGTGACGTCCATTCAAGGCAGTGCATTAAAAGGTCGTCGATCGTAGCAATCTCCATTGTCTTCGTGCGAATCTAAAAGTCTCTAATATAACAATGACATATTCCTTAATTCGAACCTGATTTCTATGGGGCATTAACGTATCGAAATCGCTCCTGAGTTGAATTTTCGAAACTATTTGCGATTGGGTTTAGGGTTCCAAACAACGATAACAACAGCAACAACAACAGTTGCAACAAATTCTCGTGTTGGACTCGTCAATATGACTGTCATCCTCCGAAAGAAGATGAGATCATACTGATCGAAACGTCGGCAACCCAGAGCTCGTACCTGAGCTCACCAGCCCGTTCATTGCTCTTATTCCTTTGAAAAATATCTCAGTGTAACCCTATAACTTTTACCTAAAATTAAGTTCTGTGCGGTAGGAAGTTCATCTTAATATTATATATCGAGTACTTATTGATGAGCTTCGAATATTACTTCCATATGCCAAAATTTTAAGCACTCCTTTTACAAAGTATGAAACGTACGTCTTATTTCTTGTACAAACATGCACTTATATTGAATTTCATATCCTCATTTTATTTGCATCTTCTGTAAGTTGCGAGCAATTAAGCCTTCGAGTGCCATTCACAATTGTAAAAAACATGAATATGAACCATGCATGTCACCGTACCCGTTCGCACTCGTAAACTAATTTGTGCTTTTTTTTCTTCTTTTTCCTCACCAACTTTCTGAATGTCTCCTAGAACCCATCAGCATAGATCTCATAGGGCTCAATGAAGTGTTGGATTCCAAGTTCTGGACCAGACAGACGGACTATGAAACCAGCGGAGATTGCCCAGCCAATTGGCAAAGAGGAACTATCCAAGCAAACATCTTGACAGCTTTCAATGATTATCCATCATACAATGATGTCACTCCTAGTGAAGGTAATATATGCATTTTTAAGCCCCACCACACTAGTTTGGCCAGGAGGGATATGACCTCCATGTATGGTCACTGACAGGTGGTTATCTCATCAAATAACCTCTCAATTAACATAAGAAAAAGAGGTTCATAGAGGACCAATGGTCACCGATTAGGTATTGCTTGCTATATAGAGGGCGCAAGTAGCCAAGTGGTGCAGTGGGGCTTTAAGCTAATACTTTTTCACGTTGTTCACGAGGCATTGTTTGGCTGACGTAAAGAGGTAGGATGTCCAAGCTCTTTGGCTGACGCAAAGAGGTAGGATGTCTAAGCTGTTTGGCTGACGCAAAGAGGTAGGATGTTCAAGCTGTTTGGCTGACGCAAAGAGGTAGGATGTCTAAGCTGTGTGGCTGACGCAAAGAGGTAGGATGTCTAAGCTCTTTGGCTGACGCAAAGAGGTAGGATGTCCAAGCTGTTTGGCTGACGCAAAGAGGTAGGATGTCTAAGCTGTTTGGCTGACGCAAAAAGGTAGGATGTCCAAGCTGTTAGGCTGACGCAAAGAGGTAGGATGTCCAAGCTGTTTGGCTGACGCAAAGAGGTAGGATGTCCAAGCTGTTAGGCTGACGCAAAGAGATGGGATGTCTAAGCTGTTTGGCCGACGCAAAGAGGTAGGATGTCCAACCTGTTTGGCTGACGCAAAGAGGTATGATGTCTAAGCTGTTTGGCTGACGCAAAGAGGTAGAATGTCCAAGCTGTTTAGCTGACGCATGACCGCGTCTGTTGACTGTAGAGTAACACGCCATAGAGAATCATGTAAATACCGAAGAATTAATTCTAATATCTCAGTTAAACGCGACGCGATGATGTAGTCAAGATAAAATAGAGAATAAATTACTGGGGTATACTGCAAAATTATTTTCTTTTGTAAACTTGACTCTGTTCAAGCCGAGGTCCAGCAAAGGGCAAATGTTACCTTTTTGAGCAGATTTGATTCATGTATTCACTTCTCGAATATTGTACTCTGAATCATGTATCATGGCAATGCATGACAAATGTTAATTGATTGGTAACTTGGTTTATGTGAAATTTTGTATGAAATTTGAATCTTATTTGCAGTTTTTGTTTATAAGAGGAAAGAATAAACAAAAGTTTAAACAAAATAAATGTTTCTTCCTTGCGGATTTTGGCAGACATTCCGGTGCACATGACAGTGACATGGCCGGATGGAAAGTACGCCCTTCCAGAGGCGGTGACACTAGCAGGGGATACGTGCCCCAAAACAGCATTTACGTGGGACTTCGGCATGCTATACCAGTTCACAGACAAACCCGCGGCCAATACATGCTCCAAGGGGAATCATTTGACCAACTATTGTGGCAATGAGTCCGTGAGGAGCTACTACTGCGTCAAGTCCACACCAAAAGCTTCATCAAGCTCGTGGTCTTGGATGCCTGGTGTGTACTGCATCTACAAAGTTGGCACAACCTGTCCAGACGGTGAGTCTCATAATGACTATAGTCTAGAATTTGGCCGGTTCTTCATCAAGCCGCCGAAGATGGTGTTATCAACGAGCTCATAATCATGCTGACCAGCCCAGCCTGAGAACCTATTTTATGGTCGGGCATCCTAGTTCAATGATCAAGCTAACTTCGGCTGGTAGCAAGTAAATGGGGGGAGGTAGCGTTTGTGTGGTGGAGATCAAAATTTGATAGGCCTGATTCAAGACTACATAATGACATGCAAAATGAAAAATGGGTGACACTACAGTTATTATTCTATTGCATGGAAATGTACGTGTACCTACAGCTATTAATTTAATAACATGTATCCTTGTACCTTACACTATATGAAAATCTGAATTGCCAGGAGTTTTATGAAGGTGGTTGGTATCCAAAGACTTTAATTGTTCCAGTTGATACTTTCTAGATGCAACTCCGGCCTCCTTTTCCCTTTTTAACACACACTCTCTCTCTCTTTCATTTTCATATTTTAGGGTTCACGGGTGGTAACATCAGATGGAACGATGTAAGTAGAGGGGTTGACCCGGACTATAACACGATGCCCGCGGGGACCTATACCGGTGGACCAACAGAGATCGAGTACTGTTGCCGTGAAGACGGCAGTGCCGCCAACCCAATCATCCTACCAGCGGAAAGCAGCTTTTACCTCATGAAATTCCATGGGGCATGTCAGACGGTAAGTGTCTAGGGTCACCTGACTCTTATTCAAATAGCTGAGGGTTCGAACCCCATCCCGGTACGAACGTCCTTTGAGGGTTCGAATCTCTGCGCGGTGTCCCTTCAAGGTGCCTGCCAAGACCTCACAACATTAGACAGGTAGTAAAGCTGCGATTTCACCTATTTTTCCCCCTCTTATTTCTTCACAGTGGGTCGCGCGCATAACTGGTTCTAGTGTCTTTTATTTTGAAATCCCATTTTATGACGTTGTATGGCGTTTTGCTAAACGTTTTTATATTAAGTTTTCTTCTATAATAATAATAATGAGTTTAATTACCCACGCACGCTTCATCAGCTTCAATGCTGTTCCTCCTGAGGGCCCTGCTATTATTATTACCCCAGCTATTGCCAGGTACCCATTTATACCTGGGTGAAGAGTGGCGAATGTGGATTAATATCTTGCCAACAGACGTTAGTGCCTGGCTGGGATTCGAACCCTCAACCCTTGGATTGAGAGTCAAGTGAACGAACCTCTATACCACGACACGTCCACACCTTCTTTCTAGTTTGGTATACTAGACCTGCCTACCTGGCACTTTAAGCGTTAACTCTTATCCTGCCCCTGGGCTAATCCCTATGGTGCCAGGCCACAAATCCCCCCAGTGCCAAATTTATAACAAGGTAATTGGATTAACGCGATGGTACTGTTAATAGCGCGTGCGAAACACTAGGCACAGTACAATGGGCATGAACAATAACTGCTATTACATCTGCGTGCAATCATGCAAGAAGCAGAGGAGCAGTAGCTTTCAAGCGTGCACAAGGCACTATAACAATAGCGTGCATGCAGCCTCATGGCAGACTGAGTTAATAGACCAGGGGAGAGTTTCACAAAGATTGAGTTTATGTTGGACTTCACTATGGTAGGCTATTCATGCCACTGTTTTACTGGCATTGGTCTCTCAAGGGACGTACAAATCATGGTCACAAATCTACATAATTTACATTTTTTGGATAGTTCTTTATTGAAGGATTTTTTTTATATCTAAAGATCATAACTAAGAGACCAATACAATAGGGAGAGCAACCAGTGGCATGAATGGCCTGCCATATTTAGGTCCAACTTAAGTCCCCTGGCATTTTATTTAAAGTTGGCTCTCCTCACCCAGGGGTTTAATGAGTGCCTGGCAGCATGTATTCCTTGAAAAGGCATGGTGCGCTGATATTCAGTGGCCTCTGTGTCATGAGATATAATATAAGATATTACACTCATATCAGAACAAGGCTTTACAAGTGCAGTCTTAACTTTTTTTCGTGCAGGTACTTGGCATGACTGTAACGGAGGAATCTCTCGAGTGGGCTACCAAGGAAGCCAATCCCATCACGTGGCAGGATGGCGCACATCCTAAACCCGGCAATACGGGCCATAATGTCAAGATCTACTACTGCTTCTACCAGCCAGAAACGGCTGCGAAGAGAGACCTTGGTCCCCTGGCGAAGGATGCAGGTAAAGTGAAGAAAGAACTGGAAGAAGTCAGAGAGCTCGTCAACTTGCTAGAAAATCAGCTCGATCATGGTAAGAGAGTTGCACTTGAGAACAAGGAGACCGAGGCGGAGGATAGGAGTGTTGAGTCTGAGGAGGAGGAGTTAAGGGAAGACGACAAGGAGACCGAGGACGAGGATAGGGGTGTTGAGTTTGAGGAGGAGGAGTTAAGGGAAGACGACATGGCGGGTGAAGACGAAGACAAGAAGTTCGAGGAAATGGTTCGGGCTATGGATCTTGTGCTGCTCCTGCGTGAAATGCGTAAAGTATAGAGGAGGGAAAAGGAAGAGGATACTAGGGGTAAAGACAAAGACAAGAAGTTCAAGGAAATAGTTCGGGCTATGGATCTTGAGCTGATCCTGCGTGAAATAGAGAAGGACTTACTTAAGTTAGGGTAATAAAGTCCAAAGCTCTTTGGAAGCGCATAGAGATGTTATTTCATAACGTATTATGCGCTATACAATAACTGAACTATTATTATTATTATTAATATTATTAATTGCAAAAAGGAAAAGGGGATTTAAAAAACTTCAATTTTTCATGAAAAAGGGTACTTTTTCAAAATCCTGGTGTACGCGTTTAGGGTTATTTTTACGGTTACGTCAGCTTGCTAGGTTACTTTATATAGAATAGATCAAATTTTAAATGTAATTATTTTTTTCAAAGAAAGGACTTATGATGACTGTGCATTAAACCCATCTGGAAGTGTACAGATTGATGTTAATGCTTCTCTATTGAAATAAATGTTTACATCGTGAATTATAATAATAATAATAATAGTTCGTTCATATATATCGCATTTCAGGACCGCAGGCCCTCTCAAAGCGCTATACAGATATGTATTTTTGTTTACATCAGAAGCGCAATTTGATTTATTTTACATTGTCAACAACTTAAAGGGTAATCACTATCGCACTTCAAAATGCTCGAGGGGTTACAATTTTACAATACTTGTTTAGGAGTACACAAAAATCACGCGAAATCCTCATTTAGGGTGTACTTTGGCTTCAGAAGAAATCCTCGTGTAGGGGGTGTTTGGAAAGCCTGTGGTCACGCATGCTTACAGTATTTCTACTAGTTCAGAATCTGGCCTATTTAATTTTGATCTCCACCACACCAACGCAATATGCGACCTCCCCCCACTTACTTGCTGCCAGCCGAAGATGGCGTGATCATTAAATTAGGACGCCCGGCGAAAAGCTGGGCTGGTGAACGTACTAGCATGATTATGAGTTCGTTGATATAAATAACCGACCGGATTCTGGAATATATTTTTACATGATTGAGGCCCCTGAGAAAATGTCTAAAAGGCAACGGCATCATAACTACAAAGAGGATTACGTGTAATCTAGAGGTTGGGCTGACTTAGGCAAATGTGATATACATTGGGCCGATAGGCTTGGACGAGTAGGATCATAATTTATAGATTTGTTGTTGTTGATTTTTTTTTTTTTTTTTTTTTTTGGATTTTGATTTTGATTTTGATTTTGATTTTGATTTTGATTTTGATTTTGATTTTGATTTTGATTTTTTTTTTTTTTTTTTTTTTTTTTTGGGGGGGGGGCTTATAGCATGGGGTAAAGCAAACTATTAGTGGATTTGCATGTAAAAGACTGCTGTGCGGTCTGGTGACTCTAACGATGAATGCATTTTGTAGTGGTTAAGTGGGAACTCTGCCTTTCTGTCTTTCAGTCTTATACATCATAACTATATCAATTTCATTTTAGATTGTAAACGGAATATAGGCCTTATGTACATAGTATACAATCTACATCAATGTGGGGCAACGTATTTTCTTTGGTAAAGGTCTTGTGAAGTGAATTAAAATAAAATGATACTTACCACAAAACTTTGTATGCACTCTTTGAACGTAGGCATATATGGATTGTAATAAAGATAAAGTTAAGTTTGTGTCATATATCGATTACAGTGTAAAATAAAGCCTGGTGGTAATGCGGGGACGGTTGAGTATGAGGTACATAGAAATTGGTATTGAGATCATCAAAATGCTTAGAAATGTATGGAATATTGCTGAAGTTCGCACGCACTGCACACAGAAATATGTAAGTGGGACTCAGCACACATGTGGCATGAAAATTTGGACCACAGTTCACAGCTTTTTCTTTTCACTTTTCAAATTTTAAGGCATTTGAAAAGCAACTTTTTTTTCTTCTTCTATAAACTGACATGAATCGAATGAAAAGGGGTCACAGATTATTGTTCTGCTCGGAATGTATAGTCGGTCTCTTGTCGGTCTCTCGTTGGAGTGACTGAGCTACGAATATTTTTGTCTTTTGTAGTATATTGGTTTCTTTCATGAACAGCTTACCCGAGTATGTATGGTGCAACTATTCTCTATCTGTATAGTATTGGTACGACATATTAAAGTTGACCCAACGCTGGGAGAAAAAAAAGTGTGTAATGAATTATGAGCATTACTATCTGTATAGTATTGGTACGACGTATTAAAGTGGACCCAACGCTGGAAAAAAAAACCCGTGTAATGAATTATGAGCATTATTATTTTGCGTTATCACAACCGATGCTGTTGATGATGGTAAACAGGAGTGGTCCATGAGCCCCCCCCCCCCCCCTCCCCATCCCATCTCTCAACCTCCTTCATTAAACCTCTACCAACGGGTGAAGAATATAGACGTGGGAGAGAGAGGCATATACACAAAGAGAGGCAGAGAGAGGGGGTGGTCGGTGGAAGAGAAAGAATTGAAAGGGAAAAGGGGTATAATGGAACAGCATGATAGAGAAAGAGAGAGAGGGGGGACAGAGAGAAACAGAGCGAGGGAGAGGGGAGAGAGAGAGGGGAGAGAGATAGGGGGCGATATGAAGATAGGTCGGAGAAGAAAGAAAAGAGGAAATGAATGAACAAGATAAAAGGAATTTCTAACTATAACATCAGTACATCAGTGTCCATAGAAACATTGAAACAATGCAAGAATAGCGAGAGAAATAATTGGAATAGAAGTAGAGAGAGGGAGAGAGAGAGAGAGAGAGGGGGGGGGGGGGGGGGGGGTGTGCAAGCGTTGGAGAATGATAAGCACCAGACACGATTCATGACTTCTAGTTGTTTTTGCAATCAAAAATCTATCACAAGCGAACAAGGACAAATATTTATCCCATCATCACGCGCCTCTTTGGCCGAACATTTGGAAAGGGGATAAGGCTCGTGCTTTGTGTACGTGACATTAACTCACTCTAGTGAATGTGGCAATCCTTCGTGATTACTTCATGTTAGTAATATAATATAAGTATTTTACGTTGATGATGTATTAATCATTATCATGATTATTATGTTGTTATTAGTTTGCAACTTTGGAAAAAACATGAAGAAAAATAAAATAAATAAAACAAAAAATAATACTGAAAAACAAAGTAGGCTATATGATTTCAAGATAATCGTAGGATCTAAGTTTTTGCATCCTATCCGATAGACTTAGTAATTCGAAATCGAAGTCTAATACATGCGTATATCACTTTGGACCCTCCGTTTCATGATGTCACCATATGTTGCGGCTACAACTGTGGACAGCCCTTATAATAGTCATTTTACAATTTGCATAATCTACCTGTCATCATTCCCCCCCCTTCTCTCCCCCCCCCCTCTCTCTCTCTCTCTCTCTCTCTCTCTCCTAGCTACCTCCTTTTCCCTCCCCCTCTCTCTTTTTCTTCTTCACGTATTTGTAGTTTTCCGAAATTTCTTACCTTAGTCATTCGGATTGTAAAAACCGAAAATCGCATACATATTATGATATTGGGGTAGATATGTACTTTTAGCATCCGTCTGATTTGAATTTCCAAATGCAATTTAGAGGAAATAATTATTGGCAATACATCACCTTCAGCTAGCTGTTCGACAAGATCAACGATACCGTCTCGTCCGCTCAAGTTACCCCTAGGTGTTGTCGTCATCGTCCTCGCATCCGTAGCCGCCGCATCGACGTCGTCGTCGTCCATCACCTCCGTGTCCGACGAACTCGGTTCGAAGAAACTCGCCAGGTACGCGTCGGTAGGTGTCGGTGGTCGCACATCCTTGGCGTCGGCATATGAAGGGAGATCGACGACCACGGATATGAGCAGGAGAACGAGGAACGACGACAGAGGCTTCCAAGGTTTATCCATCATCATTGCTCTCCTGTTCGATGCGCGCGGAAACCATTTACACTCTCCTCCAGAAAGTCCGTTCATCTTTTGTCGCCTGGACTCGCTCATCATATCTCAATTTTTCTGGAAGCTTTATTTTTATAAAGCGGGAAAAAGCATTGATCAAGGTACGGAATATTCACGCAAAGCAAGATCGTGTCTTGCAGTAGTCCAGTCCTTTGTGTTGCATTTGTTGCAACAGGGACTGCATAACATATATTCACGTTTCTCTGAAAACGTGCGGTTTGGTCTAAACACATGCTGACAACATCAATATGGCGTAGCCAGTTCTTTCACTTAACAATCGAGAAAAGGGGCAGGGGCAGTCGAAGCTAAAACTTAAAAAATGTATACGGAAGAAAAGGTTTATGTTTTAGATTTGGAAATTGCCCAGACATTTTTCAAGGTAGTGAAAAAAAGTCCGTACAAAATTCTCAAAAAAAATAGTTAAGGCCAGGGCAATATTCCCCCTCCCTGCTACCACCCTTTAGCTACGCTGGGGGATGAAATCGAAGTCATCACTTTTTTACTTTCTGTTCCAAAGGACTAGTCAAGGGCACCCGCAGTTCGAAAAGTGGGTTTCGTTTTTTTTTTTCTCCGTAAGGCAGCTGAGAGAAAACTTTACTTTCGCAAATTCGAGTCAATTAAACTTTGACCGGGGATTCTAAAAAGTAACATCGTGTACAGCCATTCACACCGACAAACCGACTCCAAAATTACCGATAATTTAGCAGTTGGGGATGTAACTTTTGTTTGGTCTGCTATCGGTGCTATGTCGGCTTCGAGGTGGCCGGGCCCTCACCAAATAGCGTGATCGAAATTCAGGAACGATGTTATCGATTGCATTTTTTTGCTTATAGGAATTTAGAAAAGTGTTTGAAAAGACCGTTTATTGTGTTGTGAATTCATGTACAATGTAAAAACAAATAATGAAAAAAATATGTGAATACAATCTTAAAGCATGGAGGTTTTTAACGTTTTGTGGGCAATGAAAAATATTCATCCAAAATTTGTGAACGATCAATGGAGAAGAAACATACAACACAACAACATAGACATTAAAGCTAAAACATAATATCGATGGCTTTCAGACCTAGCTGTCATCATCAAATTCATGATCAGGAAAGAGCACCGGAAACTTAAAATCGCCTTTCTGGTGGAGTCACGTTGGCACGAGCCCTTGAAATTAAATTTTCGCAAACAAAGCTCCTCTCCCAAGAGAATGACGTTCGAATTGACCCCTATCAGACAAGGGAGCAAGTATGACTCATTATGCGATTGGAAGATTCCACATCCAAATCCGCTGC